TGATGTTTAACTAACCTCAGGATAATCCGGATCATGTACTAGCTTAGGGGATGTGGGATTCTCGCTGAAGTAGACATGGGTCTTAAAAACGGATTGAACTTAGGCGGTTAGGGTAGATGATCATCGCCGTTTGATATGTGTTGTGTTTATTGCGAATTGTTTGTGTGAGATGTTAAATTCGATAGTATGAATGCGTGAATGGTACTGACCAAGGTGTTACGGGATGACTGTACTCATTAAATATTTATGACAATACTTATGCCTCTCTTGTTTGAGTGTGCAGGATCTAAACAGTAAGTGGAACGAGACCAGCGGCAGTGATGGACATGGTTGGAACGGGGATATGGGTGTTTTATGTTTAAGACTTGTGTTTTGTCTTATGGGCTTTGGTGTTGACCGATTTAGGTTGCTAGATGATATGATGTATTGTTAGCAAACCGTTGTGCTTTGGTCTCAAGTGAAACCTGAATCCTGTTTAAGTGTTTTTATTCAAGTTATAATGGAATGAAATAGTTTATTAAATCTGTTGTGTGTTGATTACTGCAAAGAAAAGTTTAAAAATTTGCCGAAGTATAGAAACAGACTGTTAGGATGTAGTGAAGGCAAGGCCGCGGTTTAGTTAGTCAGGTCGGGTCTCCATAGAAAAGGTCTAGAGAAAGAAGAAGAATGAAAAAAAGTGAAGAAAGGTTGGATCTTTGAAAGGTTAGAGCAGTAAAGCTTTTAGCTTAAGCATACACATTCCTTTTCTTGAAGAGCTTGGTTGTGTAGAGACGTCAACATTTCTGGTAGCACAACAAATCAGCAACTCTTGGTAAATGGTGCAAAAGAGAGGAAGATGTTGTAAGGCTCTTTCTTGGTGAAGCATCATTGAGTTTTTCTCAGGTTTCGAGGAAGACTGATGAGACTTGAGTGTCTCAGGGTTAAAGCCAAGCTATCTCTTGGTGAATAGCACGTGATTGGAAGGAGTTGTAAGACTCACTCTAGTGAATCATTAATCATCTCGTTCACAACATCTCAAAGGTCAAGAAGAGCAAAGTAGTTGCAGGTGATCTGTTCCAGTTGCAGGTTTTCTGTTTCAGTGACAGAATTGGTAAACAAAGAGCAACAGAAAAAGCAAAGGAGAAAGCTTTTGGAATATCTTGTTTTTGTTTTGTGGAAGATCCAGTTAGATCAGAAGTAAAGTGGCAGAAGGTTATTGAGATGCTTAGAAGGTTAAAAAACGTGTCTAGCTCAGTTATGGTATTTAAATGAGTGTGAAAGTGAGATGTAAACATGATGTATCTTGAGGAGGGATTTACAGATCAAGATGGAATCAAGTGAAGTGGTTTCAGGCGTTCATGGAATCAGGTTGCCTATAAGATTCAAGAATCTATAACATATTGAGAGAGAAATCTGGTTACTCACAAGTAAAAGTGTTGAAAGCATAAGAAAGAAGGAAATTCAGAGATAGAAGCAGAAGTGTATGGTCTGAGATAGTGTTTTTGATCATTGCTGACGACACAAGAAAGATTGGTGTAAGCTGAAGGTCTGTCACAAGTATCAGCTGGTTTAGGATTCTGAAAAGCAAGAGTTCAAGTTCTATGGCTCAAGTTGGATATTCAGACTCAAGTTTTGGGAGATTCCGCTGCATTCACAAGGTATTTGTGATAACTCTGTATGGAAGTTTCAGGTTTTCTTAGGTCTGCATATTTATTGGAAATGAAAGCTTGTTGAAACACAAAGAGTTTGTACTGATTTTGCAATGGATTGGTCAAGATTCAGTGATGGATTTGATGCTGTGTTTTGAGGTTCAATCAGGGTGGTAAAATCAGATGCACATGGTGTTCAAGTATAGTTATTCAAGCCCTGGTTTTTCCATAAATTCTTAGGACTAGGGGATGCCTTAGAAACTTGAATCTTATGTGTGTTTACTGCTGTTTGAATATCAATCAAATTTTTATGTGTTCAGTTTAAAGGGTGTTGTAGAATGGTTATGAAGCAAGTCAGATAATCTGTTGAAGACAAGTTAAAGGGTCTGAAATCTTCAATGGCTTTTGGTTGGGTTTTGAAAGAGGTTTCTGCTGCAGGTTTTGTCTCTGTGTGTAAGCTATCAGTTCTGGGTATTTTGAGAGTCTACAGTTGTTGGACAATCAGAGAGAATGTAAAGCTACAAGTTTGCTATTTTCAAAGGGAATGCAATGAAGTTTGTGCTCTTAATGCTGTCTGAAAATGTTATGTGCAAACAGAAGGAGAAACACCCAACTAGTATGAGTTTGAGTTAGATGAAAGGAGTTTGAAGTCTTGTTTCAAGAAGTGTAAGCTCTTGACAAGATGACAGTAGCAAAAATTCATGTTTATGCAAATTTGTGCAGATTTTTGTTATGTGTAACACATGAAAATTTTGCTGGAGTGAATCTGTGAGAACAAAGAGTTCTTGTCTCAGGTGGAGAAATATTTTCTCAGAGAAGGTCTTCTACAAGATCGGATCTTCAAGCATTAAAGAATATTCTGATGGTCTAATGAAGAATACAAGGTTTTGTGATCTCTGGGATTGAGGAATGGTTTATGGGTGTACTAGCATAAGTTGTAGCATCATCATAACATGAAGAATAATCCATCTAAAGAGAGGTTAAGGCTGCTGATAATCAGAAAGGTTCTTGGTAGTTCTTCAGGTACAAATGGATCAATGGGAGTGGCTGCATGAAGGAAGAAGAATGTGTGCCATGTTTTGACACATTTTTTCAAGCAAGAAGTCATGGCAACTCATTGTGATACATAAGAACGTGGTAATGGATCAAGGGTACAAAGAAAAGTGGTTTAACTCAAATTTTTGAAGTTGAGCTTAGAGAGGTAGAGAACATCCAAATGGTTGTCGTTCCAGGTGGAGTACTGTTGCTACAAGAAGAGCAATGCATACCCAAAAGGGTATTTTTCTATTCATGGTGGAGCTATGTTGTGGAGGTTGTCTCAGGGGTTTAGTGCAAATGGAAGAGAGTTAAAAAGGCTGCATAAATCACTGTTGTAATAGCTTCATGGAAATTATGGGTACTAAGAAGAAAGCAAACCATGAGCAGATGAGTGTCAACAAGTATAAGGCTTAAACAAGGGTACTATCTGAAGGTTAAAAGGAAGTCTACAGATTTTGTTTAAAGCTGGTTGTTGGTAAAGGCACTTAAGATTGAATTGCAGGTTTTATGAGAAAAAGTTACAGGTTTTTCTAATACTTCTCAGAGAAGACACGAAGGTGTGAGTTGAGATGAAGATATGGAAGTGATTTCAGTGGTTTCTCAACAGGGGAAACTGAAAGAGACAAGTGCAGAAGATACAGAAATGATCTCAAGACTATTAACTCCAAGAGTATGAAAATGTTGTGTATCTTGTTTGATAAACAACTCATCTCAAGTCTGGTGTTAGCAACTGAAGGAAATCAGACTGCATTTTAAAGAAAGCAACTAAGGAGTTAAAAGTTGTTTTGTTGCATTATGATGAGACTACATAAGTATCTACTCAGGGCATCACTTGCAAGTCAGCAAAGTGATATTCATCAAACCTCAGAGGCAAGTCAAAGAAGAATTGATGAATGCGGAAGCATTTCTGATTTCAAATCAAAGATTCTTAAGGGTGCAAGACCAAATTCGTTTTGGTGGAGTCTGCACATAAGTAAATGTGCTGCAGGTGGGTGTTACAGCTGAAGGAGACATCAAGTGGTGATGTACAAGCTGCTGTAAAGTTGTGTCTCTGGAACATCAAAAGGTTTTGTTGATGTGAGACAGTTTTCAAAGCTTGCTGGTAGTGGTTAAAAGTCTGCCGGTGATTGTTCTGTTTTAACAAGATGGTTGAGCAAGTCTTCTACTCTGGAATCTGGGTTGTTGAAACAGGTTATTGTAAGGTGGTTTCTACAATGGTATAAGCTGTTGTGGAGATTGTTTACAAGGTTGAATCAAAAGGGTTTCAGGTTATGAAGCTAAGTTGGTTCTGCTTTCTGCAATTGATTCAAGTGAAGTCAAAGGGTTTCAGATCTCAATGCGCATGAGGAAATTCTAGAAGCTAGCAATGGAATCAAGGTTTTGCAGAGGTGTTATTGGTGTTTCAGTCACTGCAACAGGTATATGGTAAGGGCAGAAGCTATAGAGGGTATTGTGTGATTGAAGAGGTTATAAGCTATAAAGCTTATGGAGTTTTCTGCTGAGTTAACAAGTTGGAGATGGTTCTTATCTTGTTAATAAAGTTTTATGGGCAAGTATATCAGCTATTCAAGTGTTGAATACATCAGAATATGATCACCGACGAGTTGAGCTCAATACACGTTTGTATTGGTGCTGGTTTATACAACTCTGGTGAACTGAAGATGTGATGAGGGCTCAGGTTTAGCAGTGTGAGTAGTCACAGCTGAAGTGCACTGAATGTGATGTTAAATCCAGCAAGGATCTATCAGTTTTATGGTATTTAAATCTGCTTAGTATCAAGACTGGGTAATCATACTCAGAAACCAAGATTAGAATCCATAAGCTAGAAGAAGGCGTTCTATATCTTTCTCAAGAGTGTATGTCGTTTGGCTTGAACATCATGTTCTCAGGTGGAGATTTGTGAAGACGAGAACTTGTCGCTCAAGCAAATTCAAGTCAAGTAACTCAAGGCATAACTATGATTACTTTGGTGAGTTCATATTGGATTGAGTTACTTTTGGGACCACAAGGAGAGCCTCTTGCTTTTGTCTTGTTGTGAATTTAAAAGCTAAGGAGTATTTGCCTCTAAGATATGATAAAAAAGCAAACGCATCTATAGGAAGCTGTTTTGGCGTTTGGCAAGGTGCTTTAGGTCTAATGTTGTTGTCACTATAAAGTGAAGCTGAAGACGTGAGAGAGATTGTAGTACACATGAGGAAGAGAACGAGATAGACACAATGTAGTCGCTAGTGAGAGTGGAGAGAAAAACACATCTTAGCATAAGTTTAGCTATTGTTTTTTTTCTGGTTTTAATTGATTTAACATAGTGAATTTTAAGTGCTAGTGAAAGATATTAAAACGGTCACTTGTTCGTCTCTAAATATGTATTCTCTCTGATATCTAGTGGATTTCCAGCTTAGTCTTGGTGAGATATAGCGTGTTATGGGCGTGAACTCGTTAAATATTTGTATGTGTTCCCTTCTCCCTTCTTCTTCTCTCAATCTCTCATACTCTGCTTTCTGCAAGTTTCTGCAACTTCCGTTTTAATCTCACGTTTTGATACTTCAAGCTTCTCTTAAAGGTGCCGTTTTGAGCCACTGAAACTTAACAGATCATATGAAGGGTCATCTGGCACATGCTCAGGAGCTGATGAAATCCAATGCCTACAAGCTGAGAAATGTAGTTTGACGTGGGAGATTCTGTTTCGAATGGGTTTTAAGTATACAATAAAGGAGATCGGTACTTTGTTCTTAAGACAAACTCACACAAATATCATCTTATTCTCACTGAACAACAAACTTATAAAGATGCCCCAAACCCATCTTTTGCAGCTGTGTTAAAAATCTAATCATATTCTTGACAACTGAATGAAATGAAACGAGTTGCAGAGACAAGATCAAAATATCTAAGGGAGTTTGTTATCACACACCACCACATGGAAGGCAACACTTTTTACCAATCTGGATGAAGAACCACTGTAACAGGTCTGGTCGATCATCTTCGTGTCTTTTCTCCGGCGAGGACTCCGGGAGTGGCAGAGCCAGTGGCAAATGCCTGTGGAATGCATCAACAGCTGCAGCTACACCGTCCTCGTTCTCCAGTACTTTCGCTAGTTCCATCACTCGTGATTTCACCTGGATAGGCCATGATTGGTTTTACATATTCTACCGATTCCAGTTCCGTTTGTGAGATACAACAAAGCTAGAGAGAGACCTTTGGAAGTTTTATGAGTTTTAAACAGAGGAAAAAGCTTTGAGCTAGTGTGCATTGTGTGTGATGTTTGTATGAACTATTTGTATTTGTATGATGCTTTCTATTTTTATAGTTCATACATCTTTCTATTTGTATGAGTATAAAACAATATCAGTTTTGTGTATATAAATAGAAAGATGCTTCATAGTTCAAATCTAAACACCGAATTTTTCTTCACATAACATCACTGAACGAAAATAGAAAGATCACATCTTTCTTTTGTATGAACTAACTATAACGATTACATCTTTTTTTTTGTATGAACTATAAAGCAATGTCAGTTTTGTGTATATATATAGAAAGTTGCTTCATAGTTCAAATATTAAGCACCGAGCTTTCTTTCACATAATATTTTTTTTTTTGTGCGAGGGCCTTCACATATTAAAAAACTGATAAAGCGATATCCACGCATATACATAAAAGTTACATCTTTCTATTTGTATGAACTATAAAGATTAAATCTTTCTATTTGTATGAACTATAAAGATGACATTTTTCTATTTGTATGAACTATATAAGCAATTTCTAAGTGTATATATAAAGATTACATCTTTCTACTTCTATGAACTATAAAGATGACATTTTCTATTTGTATGAACTGTATAAGCAATATTTAAGTGTATATACAAGATTACATCTTTCTACTTTTTTGAACTCAAAAGGACAGCTTTAGGTTTTGGGTTTTGTTTAGTTTGTTTAATTTTGCAAGAAAGAGTGTTTGTGTTTAACTTCTACTGTGGTTCTTTACTCAAACATCCTACATGGGCATGAGATACATGGAAAAAAAGAAGGAAAATTTAAGTTTGTTTACCTCTGGTTGAAGCATGAATCTTATGGAATTGCAGAGGTTCTCAACATTGAGCTGAGCTATTGGTATTGGCGCAGGCCCAAGTCCTTTCTCATAGATCCTGTCACCCCAGAAGAACTGATCCCCAAAGAACGGCACGATTGTTGTTGGACACTGGAGACATATCATAGAATTCAAAAGAATATAGGAACCATTAGGTTTCATATGGTCAAGAAAACTGATTTCACTACAGGACATTTCTGTGAAAGCAAAATGTTTTACCCCAGCTTTTAGTCCAGTCGCTGTGGTTCCAGCACCTCCATGATGAATCTTCATATCCACAACACAAGAAATAGCCTGGATTAGAAGATAATGTCTTTGGAGACATGATGTAGTTAATCTAAAAAGGGGTTACCACAGCTGAACATTGAGGAAACAACCAATCATGAGGACAGTCCTCCAAGAGGAATACATTTTCAGGAACTTCAGCAACTGCAAGATGTTTGAAGATAAAAAAAATTATGTATAAGCAAAGAAGAAAAGTAGTTCAGGAATCAGGACACAGAGCATCAAAAGAGAAGGTACAGAAGCTGCTTACGGTTTCCAAGGCCACCCCAACCTCGATCAACTATCCCTCTGTGTTCTGTATCTCTCAGTGTTTCCAGTATAATATCCATTGTTTTTTTCGGATTGTCAAGAGGCTTGGTTGTGTAAAAGAGAAGAAACAACAATATCAGTACTATGCATTATAACTGAATATCACCAAAGCAAGGAAGAGCATATTTTCTAAGGATCATCAGTTTACCATGCTTCCGAAACCAATATATACGGGCGGTGATCCTCTTTCTATCCAGTGGATAAAATCTTCACGAGGTTGGTACTTCGATCCAAGGCTCAAGAAACAATACCCAACAACATCAACTAAAGGACCCCAATCTGCAAATTAGTCAAACAAAAAGCAAAATCTTTCAGATATCTACCGAAGGAAAGATAAAGAGCTCAGCCTAAAATTGACAACCCATTATGGTCTTGCCAATTGACAAAGCCAGAAGAACAACATTAATCTAGAAGCCAGAATGAAGCTACAATACATATGATAAACCTCAGCGGAATATATGTACTGGGGATGCAGCGGGAATCTCACCACTTGGTTTTGGCACAACATGGGGACTCCACATGTAAGCAGTAGGCAAGTGAGAAATTGAGCCATGGTATGTGCTGAAATATGCGAAAGGTGCAAGGTTTAGCTTCCTCTTCCTAAAATCATTTATGTATGTCCTTATGCTCCACCATACCATCAGATCAACAACTATATATGATAGCTGAGACAAAAAAATGTTGTGAAACAATAAGCCTCATTATCTTCGAGAGAGTATATGGTCATAAGAAAGAATAACATTACCCAATACGCAGGACTTTGAGGAACTCGGGCCAAAGGGTGGGGAAATTCATGAGTTGGCCTGCCTACATGAAGATGATGTAAGAGAACAGGAAACCAAATAACACGTTAAGGCAAGTTTAAAAGCAGAGAAGTCAACTCACGTCCAAGGCATTGTGAAAAAAATGTGAATTGGTACTCCTAGAGCTTCAGCAACATGCACATGTCCTATAATTAGAACCAAAAACCATACCATCAGTTTCATAGAAAAAGTGCTTAAGAAAGGTTTACAAACAATGAGGTTCTGATGGATCAAAGAGTTTTAAAGTTAACGAAGGATATACCATACGCAGGAGGGTTTGCAATTATTGCTTGAGCTCTGAAAGAGGCAGCAGTTTGCATATCAGGCTCTGTGCAAGCCGGAAGAAGAGACTCTATAATTGCCCTCAACTGTTTTCTCTGTTTTGCTATTTCTCCAGGCCCAGAAGGAATCAGACCTTTATTTCTAGCCATATCTACATTCAAAAATACCCACATGAAGCTAAAGAGAGAATTTATGACAGCTTTCATCATCAAACAAAAAAAACTCGAGAAACTAAAATATAAACGAATCTTTTCAAGGAGGACTTCTTACATCCAGCTAGTTCTCGAGGATCACCACCCAAGGGATAGAACTCTACTCCAGCAGATCGTACAAAAGAGCAGAAATTTGCATGAGTTGCCAACCTAACACGATGACCAAACTCCTGCAACAGAGAAAAACAATATCTAACTTTAACCTCTCTCAATGCCAATCAGTTCCAAATCTCTCACCAAATGCTAAGAAAAGCGTCAAGAACACATATGACGATAGGATGAAGAAATGAAACAAATTTAAAATGACGAGAACACATGATATAGGCACATGCCAACACTTTGATACGAGCCTGTTCAATTGCAGTGTACTATATGCATGCATCCACAAAATATACATATGTAAAGTCACAATGATTCCCTCTGTGAATCTTAATTTCGCAAAAGGATACAAAGAATGAGAAAGCAATTTCGAAACTACCTGGAGGCGCTTTGCCATGGCCAAGAAAGGCTGCACATCACCGCGAGTTCCAACCACAAGTATCACAATTTTTAATCTTGGAATTGATCTAAAGGAATCAGCAAATGACTTTTCATATGTGATTGTTGGCTGCCCTTTGGTTGGCTGAAACTCCAATAACTCCGATACCGGTGTACCGTTATCTATATCAACTTCCACGGTCCCGTCATTTTGTATTCTGACTAGCTCAACAATGAGTTTTTGCTGGAATAACAAGAAGTTTTCAAGTTACCAAAAAAATTTGTAATCAAATGAAGAACATATCCATTGCAATGAAGGTTCAGATTCCTACCTTTTCCCGCTCCGATAATCGATCTAATTTTGAATTATGACTCGCAGGGGACAATCTCTCTGTTATGGACCGAGAGTACTTAACCTCATTGTCATCGATTACCATATCTCCATAGAGACCAACAGGTGCAGTTATGCAGTGGTCTAGTCCTTCAAGAACATACAATCTTGATAAGTTGTTATGCTCTAAGTTATGGTTTTGATGGCAAAGCTTGGAATAAGATAAATACACGTGTTCCAATAGAGGACTAACCCCTACGCCAATCCGAAGAACGACCAGAACCTTCAGGAGCATTCTCTACAGAGCCAGATGTTTGCAATAAACTCTCTTTCTCATTATTTACAGCATTATCTTCATCAGAAAAACCCTTCTCATCTTCTTGCAATGGATGATTAACTACACTACTCTCCATCACCGACTTCAATTTAACAGATCTCACTACCCAATGCCCCCACAAAGATCAGCTTCTTAAACAACAAACATACTACATATGAATTGAACTCCACAAAGTAACATCTATGCAGCGAGTTGTACACAACACAACTGCACACTATTCTAATCCATGTCGATCAGAGATGCAAATGGCTCCTGCCAAAAGCTGTACGCGGCGAATCAGTGCTTGAACCAACCAGTGAATCCTTAAGGAAAGTTAGCTGCACTTTATACAAAAAGCAAAAGGGAGAAGAAATGATATATTAAAGAAAGAAAAAAAAGTCAGAGAAATTGGGTTTTTTTATCTCTATATTAACCGTTTCAGATAAAACAAGAAAACGCAGGGAAAGATTACAGAGCAGAGAGTCTCTCACGTTAAGCGCGAGGATGAGATCAACTAGAAAAATGATCCAGCTTTAACTTGAAAGACACAATTCGAAACTGTACAGAGACACAGAATTAACCAATCAATCAATCGAAAAGAGAAGAGAAAAGAAAAGAAAAGCCATTGCCCAAGTAAATGAAACCCAACAATTGAATCTACCATCACTGATCAATGATCGAAAGATTGTTCTTGAACTGAGTGAGTAGGAGAGAAAGTTCAAGAGACAGGAAAGGAGAGAACTTTGATGAGAAATGTTTCTGGGTCTGTGGAAAATTCTGGTTTTGAGGAATTTGGCGAGATTGTAATGTTGAGCTTCCAAGGGGTTTGGAGACTTTTGAATCAATGAATTGTGGTGATCGAGGATGAAGATATATATATTTTAATAAATGCAGCGATAAAAATCAATCATATTAGGGGATGCCGGATGCCACCGAAACAAAACCAATTGATTATGAATTATAGTAATTTAACAGTAAGATAATGCGACTTTTCGTTTGTTATACCATCTTCAATTATTTCTTCATTTTCTACTCCAAAATAGAAAAATAGAGTAACTCTAAAATAGAGTTGTGTTTTACTCTAATGTATTTCTTTATTTTTTACTCTAAAAAGAAATATTCTAAATAGAATCTTATTTGATTTTATTATAAATATTTTTTAGTTTTAAAATTTATAAATAAATCCCACTTATTTTATTATTTACAATTTCTTTGAAAAACTATAACTTAAATATTTATCAAATAATAAAAATTACATAACATCACAAAAAAGCATATGCAATTTTTATTTAAACATTACTATAATAAAAAAAAATTATCATTAATATTTTTAGTATTTGTTGTCTTAAATTTATTTATGTTGTTTATCTTAATTTTAGCCCTTATTTTGTATTTTAAAGTTTATTATATTTTTTAATTTTGTAGGAATAATTGCAGTATTTAAATATTCATAATTATCAGTTTTATAATATTTGTTATAAATATTAAATAGTATAAAATATAATTATAATAAATCTCAAGGATTAATTTGCAAATAAAAAAGTCTAATTCCAAGATGGAGTAAAGTTTAGATTTACTCCAAATATAGAGTAAAATTTAGGTTTACTCTATTTTAAAGTTGAAAATAGACTAGGGTTGGAGAGGATTTTACTTCAAAATAGCATTTGGAGTTGAAAATAGAATATGGTTGGAGATGCTCTTAAAAGTACGGGTGGCACAAGGTGAAGGGCTCTCTCTCTCTTCTCTCTTTAAAATCTTTCAGAGCGAGAGAGTTCTTTCTTTGATCCGATTTGATCGGCTTTTTGGCTGTCTTATAGTTCCGTCAATCGGATCTTCTTTTCCGTTGATCGGATTTTATTTTCCGTTTATAGGATTCTAAGTTCTCCGACAACGTTCGGTTTTCCTTTTGCTTGTTTTCATCTTTATTCCAGACGAATTTGATGAAACTCTTTCCGTTAGTTATGCTGGATCTTCTCCCGAAAGAGCAATTCCTTCTCTTTTCTGTTAATAAATCGTCGTGATTGCGAAGAGGAAGTTTCTTTAGCGGAGTTGATTTGAGATTTGGGAGTTATCTTGAGTGATTGAGATGCAGGATCTGCAGAACTGGCGCTTCTCAAAGGCGGTCTGGTGAATATCCTATTCACTTTCACTTTCGGTGACTCTTTATTCTAATTTCTAATGGTGAAAGTAAGTTTTCTCATCTTCTTCTGGCGGCCACACGCAAAAGGAATAAGCAGCAGGATGGATTTAAAGCAGTTTTGTAGCCTTTCTTAGTTCAATTGCGTTGGTGGCGGACTATTCCGATGATGATCGCGGTGCTGCTCATGCTCTTTTAGTTATTCAACATGTGTTTTATTTCTTTTGTTTACACGTATCGTCCATGTGTTGAAGGCCTATATTTTGGTTTCAATGTTTTATTTTGGCCCAACAGAAATTGTATGCTGATTTGCCTTTCATGGGCTTTTAATATTATCCACAAACGACAAAAAAAAAAAAAAGAAAAAGTACAGGTGGCACAAAAACTATAAGCGAAAAAATCAAACTATATCGAACCAAAAAGTGATATGGTTTAGTTATGGTTAAACTTAAAAATCAATTTGGCCATCATTTTTTTATAGTTTTGGTTTAGGTTTGGTTTGGTTAAAAACCGTCAAACCGAAAAGTTTTTCAGTTTTTTAATTAAATTTTAAATAATTTATATTTTATGAGTTAAGTTAGTAAATTATAAAGATAACTAAGCCCAATAATAAAATATGTGTTTAAACTAAATTAAGAAACTAGGAATTTAAAATATAATATTTAAAAATATATCTACATATAAATAATAAAGTAAACTTTAATTTTTCAATAAAAAAACGTGACTAACTCTTTTTTCTTCACATTCAAGTCTTCTAGTTCTAGTTCCAAGCTTATAGGTATTAAATTTTAATCTAGCTTTGCTTATTATTTTATAATTATTGATTATGAAAAATTTGATAATTTGTTTGTTTCTCTACTTTAAAATATGTTCTTATTGATGAATTTTTTTTTGATTTAGATTCTATTTTTTGAACTTATTCATTGAATCTTTTTTGAAGTAAGTCTCCAAAATCCCAAAAGGGTTATCTTTCATTGAAACAGGATATATGCATCCAAATTTTGCCATTAGGTGAAAAACTTATAAATTTCAAATTTGATTATATTTAGATGACAAGATAGATATTTGAATCAAGTTCGTAGGTTTGAAGTCATTTGGACTATTGGTTGAGAAGAGGCTTTAAAAATGTTAAACACATGTCCATCTGTCCTAGAAGAGAAGCAAACGCATGAATGCAACCTCAGTCCACCACCTCAGGTCGAAGGTCACCTTCACCTACATGAATTAGGTTCCTCAGCCCGTGTATAAGCTCTTTAAGCCGAGACCCAGTCTATTTTGCGTTTAATGTAATTTCTATTTTTGTTCAACCTTAACATAAAATCCTTAAATATATGTATTTGTTTTTAGCCTTATAAACATAAAAGCCAAAAATAATAAAATATACTCAAATATTGATCAGGATTCCAGAGATGTTTTACGGATTGCATAAGCAAAAGCAACATCGTGGGTTTTAGCACAAACTGATCATCCCCAGGTTGAAATTCACAACACACAAACATTGGTGGCACTAAGATGAGGGATTAATATGTCACACGGATGGCGCTTGGAAATCAAGGGTGGTACTGTCAAGACAGTGGATCAGATGTTACGTTAATGGGAGTAAAAAAATGTTAGACGAAGCATCTCTCCTTTACACACGGAATTAGAAGCTTTGATTTGGCTATGCATGCATGCTCGACGCAAGACGAATGACGATAGTTTTTGTTACAAATTGTTCCGAATTGGTGAAGATGGTTGATACAAGAATTTTGACTCTCTTGGTCAATCACCCATTGTACTAATCAGTTGTAGTAAAGTTTTATCAATCCAAAAGGAGTTATGAATAGATGCCAATAGAGTTGTGAGCAGAGAACCTTAAGTCAAGTGAATTCAGAGAAGATTTGTTGTTTACAAAACTAGAACTAACAACTAAGTGATACCAATCAGAACTCAAAAGAGAACACTTAGCAATGATCAAAAACAAAACAGAGCAATAAAACAGAGCACTTAAAGCAAAATTCGAAATTCAAATAAGAGAAAGCAAGTTCCTAGATGTGGTTATTGACTTTGGGGAATTCAAAGGCTTACTAAGGTTGTTTCAAACATCATTGATCAAGCAAACAAGAAATCAATGCTGATTCCTAGACATATAGTTCACAATCAAGAAAGTTAAGTTCAATCTCTTGACAAATAACACTTTGCTAATCATCCTAACAAGAACTAACTCTCATTAGTGCTTGAACAATCAAAAAGCATGAATAACCAACTCTATTCAAGTCAAAATACTCCTTAAACAGTCAATCTCTTGAGCAAAAGCCAGTAAATCCTCTATTAAGCAAGATCATCAGCATTTCATCAAACACTTGGTGGGCATAAAATGATGCATAATTCTAGATTCATGTGATTAAGATAAATCTAGCTTAAACACAGATTAATAGAAAGGAATCAATCATATTAAACACTAACAAACCCTAATTAAGCCTCAAAATTTCCCTAATCTACCACATCTAAGAATCCTAAGAGAACTACTCATTAATCACCATGGAAAACACCAAATCACAAGGGTAAATATGCTAAACATGATTAAGAGGGAGATTAGAGAAGAAATTAAAATACAAATAAAAAACTTTGATCAAAATGATAAACTTGTTCTTACAAAAACTAGAAAACTCTTAAAAACAAAGCAAGAACAAGACTTGATTCTAAAAACATTAGGCCAAGCCTATTTATACTAAATGACAAAAGCCCTAGAGTAATGGCAAATTTGTAAATAAAAGAAGTTCAGACTGGTTCGTATCGGTCAAAAGTGACCGATACAGATTATCTATATGAATGACATCGGTTAGGCTTGACCGATGTAGCTGATCGATGCAGGTTGAGCGGTTTCATGAATATTAAGATATCGTTTGAACAGCATATCCGAATGACCTGAAACCAAGTCCTCCTGAAATATAACTCACGTGGCTACAACTTTCATGAAGAGTGCGGAATCTGAATCAAGAAGGAGGCTATTGGTCCGACCTGATCTTCAAGTCGGTCAGGATCAACGGTCAAAACTCCATATGGACATATGCTCAATTTATTCGCCGTAACTCTTCAACCACCTGCTGGGAATGACTCGAAACTAATACCAGACGAAATTTAACTCACGGGTCTATAATGTTGATGAAGAACACCGAGGTTAAATCGGAATGGAAATACCTCATCTGAGCTGATCTTCAGTCGATATGGTCACTCGCTTGCTTTACATCGGTCACAGGTGACCGATACAGATGACCAATAGACCATTCGCTTGATTCCCATCGGTCAGGCTTGATCGATATAGGTGATCGATAGAGCATCTGCTTGATTCCCATCGGTTACTCCTTGACCGATACACTTGATCGATACATATCTTCGAAAACTTGGCTGGATCCCATCGACAGTCTTGACCGATACGGTTGATTGGTAGAGCATCCGCTTGATTCCCATCGGTCAGTCTTGACTGATACGCTTGATCAATAAGATCTTCACTCCTCTGCTGCATTGTATCGATCAACCTTGATCGATACACTAGACCGATACAGTTTCCGAAATCGCCTTCCTTAGCTCCTTTTGCTCATTCTCAGCTTGGCTAACTCCTTGAACCATTCCCACACTTCCTCCTTGCTCCCAATAGCTTCTTAAGTACCTAAAAACATTCTTAATGCATAGAGAATGCAAACTACAACCTAAATGCAACCTAAGTCTAAAAGGAAAGGAAAATGGGCCTAAAGAGAAAGAAAACATGCAAAAGGAGACAAAAACATGATCTAAATGAAAGCCTAAATGATGTAAATATATGAGATATCAACACCCCCACACTTGC